TGCTCTCCTCTCCCCAACCCAGGAAGTCTCGTTTTCTGTTCCCACCAGCCAACTGAGACGTCTCTCATCTCCCTGACTCAACCACCCTATTTAGATTTCTGCCAACCTGCTGTTCTCCTCTCAGTCCCTACCAGCATTTAAAATTCAGCCTGGGGAATTTGGGATCTCCAGATGTTTTGGACGCCAGCTACCAAGGAAAGGGATTCTGGGAGTTAACTTCCAAAACCTCTGGTGGCCACCATTTCTCCAGCCCTGACATCAATCTCCCTCATGTGTGACAGAAGAACATACAGCCTTTCCTTCGTACATCAATAGGGTCAAATGAAGCACTTGGAAGCTTCAGCCCTCAGATTTTCCCCCCTCCGACCTCTAGGATAGGATGACTCGATTCCTTTATCCCCATCTTACTAACTTCCAATGAATTAGGCTTCTCGAAAAACCCCAGGTCCTGGCTGAAATATTACCACCCACGTTTCCCACCTTGCCTTGTACTCCACCCATTCTTCTGCCTCCAGGAAACACTTAAAACGCAGATCTTCGCCCATTGGAGGAATCAAAATGTGTAGAACAAAGGTTAGTCCATGTCTTAATGTGTGTTTTGTATAAAATCATAGAATTTGGACAATGCCTAGGCATTTGAGTGGCTTTCATGTAAAAACTGGATTTCTCTTTTCCCACACCGTGTTTTACACTGAAACTTGAACTTCACACCTCTAAAGAAACTGTATGTAGAAATCGAGAATGCTCGCTGTCAGTTCTCTTTTTCTCAGCAGCAACACCAAGAAGTGTTGGCAAGACAAATAGGCCCTTTCCTGCTTAAACCCCCTTCCTCTCTGTCACCTTCAGTATTGCATCTGAGTTCATGGGGTGGAGGCGGAGAGGTTGTGGAAGAGTTGCCAATGCCATTAGTGCAACCATGGCAGTTTGAGAGCTGGTCTAATGTAATGCACATTGTCTAGGTTGAGGTACAGGATAATCTAAACATTGCCTTTTCTTCCTTGTTTTGCCTGGAGCTTGGATTATAAACGCTTCCCTCAGAGGTCCCACATCCCATTTACTTTCTTCTGAGTCACCTTGACCTTTTGATCTGTGGTGGAATGTTTGAGGGACAACATTCTTTTAGAGGAATGGGGGGGGGGAATGTGAATCCCACATCCTGCTCTGATGAGCTCCCTTGTGTAGGCCTGCTTACAGCATCACCCACACATGTCCAGTCTGAAGCATCCTGGTAGATCCCAGGCAATGCCATGTTCCAAATACAAAGTGCTTGGAGTTACACTGCCTATAGAGGATGGTCATAGGACAAGCTGTCGCCAGCAAAGAAACCAATGGTCCAAGGAACCGTACCCCCTCTTGCTTTGTGATCAGTTCCACTCTTCCTCTCAGACATAGTTTGAGTTTCAGTTTCATAACACCCAAGGAAAAGAATGGTCAAAAGAACAGACTGCAGGTCTTCTCCCATTTCTCACATCTGGGCTAGCAAGGGATGTCAACATAATCTATCAAGTAAGGCAGGGGTGGGCTTATTTAACTTCAGCTGTCCAGATGTTTTGGATTTCCATCTCCAACTAGAAATTATGGGAGCTCCAGTCCAAAATAATCGGGAAGGCCACAATTGCCCACTCCAAACTAATATTGTTCTTCAAGGTTGTAAGCCGCCTGTCCTCCTTTTCACAGAGAAAGGTGGGGTAAAAATATTTTAAATAAATAAATAAACAAACTAAGGATCCTCTAAACCAATGGTTCCCAACTTTGAATAACCCAGGTGTACTTGGACTGCAATTCCCAGAAGCCTTCCCCACTATGTAGCTGAGCTGGCTAGGATATCAGGAAGCTGCAGTTCAAGAACACCAGGGTTACCCACAGTTCGTACCCACTGCTCTCAACCAGCCCTCTGCTTTGCTGAGTTTAGATACCACCATGCCTGGAACACCAAAACTGCCTAGACTGGGATTTACAGACCAGTAGCAGAACACTGGAGAATGGGACAGTAACATCAGAAGCAGGCATGCTTCCTTTATATGAAAGGTTATTGCTCCTGACTCTCACATCTCTTTGCTTGCTTTCTAATTAACATATGCAGATAGGGAAAACCCCTCTTGAAAGTCCCTTAAAAAACAACTGCTCATTCTCATCACACCCATACCCTCCTCTGCTATCTTCTTAGATCAGCCTCCATGACCTTGAACTATTCCGTAGAATTGCGTACTCATTACCCCATCCCTCCTTTCTTTCAAGTGTACTATTAGACTTGTCATTTCAAGCAATCTCCATAGCATTTTGGTGCACTCTTCATACAAAGGAGGAGAGGGACCACTGGGTAGAACAGAGTGTGTGCACGTGCTCATGCACACACACAAATGTATGCAAGTGCCAGCTTTTTTGGGGGGGTTGATACTTTTTGGGATCACAAAGATCAACTACACCACTCACTTCTGTAAGAGGAGTCTTGGATTCATCTACCTATACACCTTAGACCGCTTTCTGTACTAAAGGGGCAACAGGGTTGCAACTTGTTTCACACCAAGTGCAGCAAGAAAGTTTGAAAAACCACTAGGGGCTTCCAAGATCCCTTTAAAGAGACACTCTTAACTGAGAGTCAAGATGGAAACGTGACTGGTGTCAGGTTGGAAGTAGGTAGGAAAGCCTAGGTTGCTGGTCTTCAGCTGAGTTATTGGGTGGCTTCTGCCGCCATTTCTGATGCCTTCTCCTCTGTTACACGGGCTCCTGGCTACTCATTCCCTTGGCCCAGCCTTGACATAGTGATAGAGTCGTTTCTTGAGCATCCCCATTCCCCTGCTCTAGCATGGGTACCTCACAGTTCAGGGATGTCTAAGCACATCCTCTGAAAGTGGGATCCTTCCTGAGAACCAATGTGATAACAGATAAAAAAAAGCTTGGGTTGCTTCCCCCCCCCCCTAATTCACATTTACTGAGTAGCTTCAGACAAGCTCCCCATGGTTCAGGTCTCTCCTATACTCCACAGAGGTTTTGTGAGGTTGCCGTTGGGTGAAGGGAAGACAAGTTAATAGAGCAAGGCCGACAGTTACTCCCATGTTACAGAAACGCTGTCGCAAAAGACAGATAAATATATTATTCTCTCTTCACAAGCGTAACTGCAGGGAACATGAACAAAAAGAAAAGAAAAGCAAAACAGTTTTGTTAACTGACTGCCCCCCCCCCCGAAACTTATAAAAGTCTCAGTTACTGGCAGATGGGAAAGTTAACAGGGAAAGGGGAGGGGTGCACTACGTGGGTCGGTTTCATGTCATCCTTCCCCGCAAGATATAAAGTGTGAACCGAGCACCTCTGGGTTTGCCTCCAGGAGCCAACCGCGCACCCCCCATACCCCCCCCCTCAACTCAGCTCACTGGCGTTTGCGGCAGTGCTCTACTCTGGGACATTCCCAGCCTCAAAACATCGCCCCCTTCCTTCTTTGGCTGGAAACTGACATGTCCAAGGCCCTTTGACTGGCAACGTGGGCGGGGGTTCCCGGAATGGAGTCCTACCAAGCCTAAAAAACGTCACTAGGCAGAAACTGACCATATATGGCCTACTTCCTCTGCGTCAGGCTGAAAAGCCCCCTCCTTTTGGGCCCGGAGGCGCCACCCACTGGAGCTGAAGTCAGAACTTGCGAGATCAAGGAAGTGAAGCTTCGGCGGCGGCAGGCGTGTGGGAGGCTACCCCATCGGGGCTTTTACGCGTCTGCCCCCCCCTCCCCGGCCCAACCCTCACTGGAGAAAGGGAGAGAAACTCCAGCGGGTTTCCTAAGTACCAGAGTTTTCGCATCAAAGCTCCGAGTCTGACATCAAAGGAGAGCATGGGGGGGTGGAAAGACTCCTGAAACCTTGAGAGAATGACAGGAGAGGCAGAGGAAACAAGGCATAGTACTACTGATACCAAAAAAAGGGGGGGGGGCAGAGATTGCACTCCTCAAGGGGAAATGCAGGGGGACAGGGACAGGGGTCATAAAAGAGGTTACTTGTCTTGCTTGTCCTGGATTTATGTTATACAAACCCCTTACAAATATCAAATTCAAACAGGAAGGGAGATCGAAACAGGAAGGGAGAAGGATCCAACACTAGCAGCAAAACTATTTAAGATCGTGTGTAACAAAAACTAAGCATCTCTCACCCCTCCAATCTCCCTAGACTGGAAGACCAGACAAAGTCAAATTGTTTTTAAATTGGATCAAATCTCCCAGCCTTCCAAACAGCCACAAAATTTAGAAGGGGTGAGGGCATTTTTCCAAAAGGAGGGGGGGAAACATTCCTGACAGACTGAAAAAAAGCACACAAAGTAAAATAGTTGGAACATGTTTACTTAAATAGCATCAATAAAAATTTCAAAACACAAATACAATCTTTTGAAAAAAAAAATGAATTTGAGGACTCAAAGGAAATAGGAGCACAACTAGTAAACAACCCCCCTTCCCCCTCCACAGTGGCTCCTTTGTCCATGCGGTGGCCCCTTGGAGGAAGGGGGTGCTAAGATCCCATCATTTCCCTGTCAACCTGTGTTCTGGTCCCTTTTGTTTCTATTTATAAATTAAGTCCATGTCTTTCTTCCTGCCACAAGGCAGAGACAGCAGAAGGCCAGGTGTTGTGGTGTTGTTTTCCTTTCGGCTCTGTCCGAAGCATCACACACACACCCCAGTTCCACCACACCATCCAGCGATGCAGCAGAGAGAGGGAGAAAAAGGCTCTTCTTTCTTGTCTTCTTCTTAAATACAAACACACAAAGTCACTCTCACGTACAGATATATAGATATAGATATAAAAACCTCGTACACACTCGGCACAGATCGAAGTTCTGGATCCACCAGATCGAGAGAGTCCCAGACATAACAACTCGGAGAACAGGGCTTCAGAACAAGAAGAGTTGGGAACCCGGCGTTGGCTGCCTAGTTCCCTGTAAACTTTTTTTTGCGTTACAGGTCCGCTTCCCTTCTTCTCCCCACCCGCCCCTTCCCCACAAAGGTCTCTGAGGCAGGCAGGGAGCGGCTTGGTTCCCCCCCCCCGCCTTCTGGATGATGATGATGATGATGATCCTCCCCCTCCTCAGAAAGACTGCTGCATCTTGGCCGTCAGGAGAAGCTGGCAGCCGTTGTTCACGTGGTTCATGACTTTCTGCTTGAGCTGCGCCACCTGGTCCCGCAGCGCGCTGGCCGTGCTGGACAGTCCCGCGTTCTCGGACTTCAAGGTCTTCACCTTCTCCTCCAGCCGGGCGATGCGCTCCAGCTTCCTCTTCCTGCACTTGGTGGCGGCCAGGCGGTTGCGCAGCCGCTTCCTCTCCACCTTGATCCGCTCCTGGTCTTCCATGTTGATGGGGGAGACGGGCGGGCTCTGCACATCCGGCACCGTCTGGGGCTCCTCTTTGAAACCCCGCGCCGGGTGGGGCAAGGCCAGGCTGTGAGGCTGCGGCAGGTAGCTGAGGTTGGCGCTCGGGAAGCCGCTCGACGAGCCGGCAGGGTGGTAGCTGGTCAGGTTCGTGTAGACCGGCGGCGGCTCCTGGGGAAGCGAGGCGCCGTAGCCGCTGCTGGCCGAGGACACCGCCGCCGCCGCCGCCCCGGCTCCCCCGAGGGAGACGTTGGGGGGCGGCAGGTGGTTCATCTTGTGCAGGTCGTCCAGCGCCTTCACGAAGCCGTCGGCGAAGCCCTCCTGCTCCTCCGTGGCCCCCCGAGGGTAGTAGTACTGGCCGGGAGGCGTGGGAGTGGTGGTGATCACGCCGTTGCTGTTCTGGACGATGAGGCGCTCCAGTTCCGGAGCGGCCAGTTTGAGCGAGTTGGAGCTCCCGGTCTCGGCCGGCTGCTGGGGAAGGGAGCCCGGGAAGTAGGCGGCCGGGCCGTCGTCTTGGCCGCGGAGGTGATGGGGCAGCTGGGACTTCAGGCCGCGGTACGACTCGGCCGACAGGTTCAGAGCCATGCCCGACTTCAGCGCCTTGTACTCCTGACTGTAGCCGGAGAAAAAGGAGTCAGGGTAGAAAGGCTGCTCCATCTTCGTGCACATCAGCCGCGCGCTGGGAAGAGGGTGACCACCGGGGCGAGGACCGTCCGGGGAGCGCGCAGGAAGGGCTTGGCGGTCCCTGCCTTGCCTGGCCTGGCCTTGCCTGGCTGGGGGGCGCGGGTCCTGCTTCTTCTCCCAAAGCGAGGAGAGAGAGCGCTTCCGCCCGGCCGCCCGCCTGACTGCCTGCCTCCCCTCTTCAAGCCTTCACTTCCAGCTTTCAGAGCCAAAAAGGGGAGGAAGAAGCTCTCGTCTTTCCGGCGGCTTCTCTTCCACCCGCCCAGACTAAGCTCTTGCTAGCGAGGATGATTCACGCTGGTCTCCCTCAAAAAAAAAAAAAACAGTGGGCCCGAGGTGCGTGCGTGCGAGCCGGCTTAGAGCCCTCCCCGAGAAGCAAAAAGTCGCAAGTACCGTACCGGCCAAAAGGGGCGACGAGTCTCCCGCCCGCTGGAGCCGCGAGTGACTTTTTCAGAGCTACAGCGTGCGCTTCCCGGCCCCTTTTTATTCTGGCCGCGCGCGCGGAGCGGGCGGAAGCGGCGCCCCATTGGCTGGCGAGCCCAAGCGCCTCCGCCCATCGCCGCGCACGCGAAGCGGGGTGGGGCGAGGAGGAGCTGAGCTCATTGCTCGGCAGCTCGTGCTCCAGTAAACAGGCCGCGGGAGGAGGGAGGGGCGCGAGGCCCGCGCGTCAGAGTAGCGGGGTTGGGCGGG